TTTTTTAGAGATGCAATCTCACTATGTTGCCTAGGCTACTCTCCAACTCCTGGCCTCAAGCGATCCTCCCACCTTGGCCTCCCAAAGTGTTTGGATTATAGGTGTGAGCCACCGCACCTGGCTCTAGTCTCTGTTTTTAATGTTGGGGGAATTATTTCAGTGTTTGGTCATCTTTGGCCGTTCGTTTGTATTTACAAGTGAAATGCTAAGAAGCCGACAGAGGCACTGCTTTGTGCATGCGGACAGTGCTTCACTGTAGCATGGCTGGGAAGAAGAAAAAGTAGACCTTTTCCCTTGGTATAGTCAGCAGTCTTGAAGAATCTGCCAGTCTTCGCTGGGATGGGTAAGGGGCAGTGAACAAGTCACGGTTATTGTCTGTGGTTATTCTCCATGGTTATTCACTGACTGACTAACCCTCTGTTGAGAGCTAGCCAGGGAAAGGTTGGGGAAACTCAACCATCCAGTAAGCGTAATGTTTTTCGATCCCCTGTTTTTAGCACGGCCCTTCATCTCCACCTCCAGCTGTGTCTGGTTCTGTCTCCAAGTCCAAACCTTGGTTCAACTATTCCAGGAAACCTAGCCGGAACTAACAATACACCCGTGATATCCCAAGATGAGGAAAGGCAGCTGCCTGACCACAAGGGCTGGGGAAGGGAATCAAAAGGTCATAATGCCCCTTTGCCAGACGTTCAGTCACTTCACTCAGATTTAGCCCTGTAGCCGGGTGCAGTGGCTCACACCTGCCAGCGCTTTGGGAGGCTAAGGCAGGTGGATACGAAGTCAGGAGTTCGAGACCAGCCTGGCCAACATGGCAAAACCCCATCTCTGCCAAAAATACAAAAAAATTAGCCGGGTGTGGTGGCAGTCACCTGTAATCTTAGCTACTCGGGAGGCTGAGGCAGGAGAATCACTGGAACCCAGGAGGTGGAGGGTTGCAATGAGCCGAGATTGCACCACTGCACTCCAGCAGCCTGGGCAACAGAGGGAGACTCTGTCTAAACAAAACAAAACAAAAACAAACAAAAAGATGTGTGGTGCCTTCATGTGCTGGGCTTTTCTGGGGGTCTGTAGCTTTATTCAGTCTTCTTCCTGCTTCTCATTCTGTACACATTTAGATCTCATTTTTCTCGTTTGCTTTACGTCTTCTTTAATTTTGCTGATGTGTGTCAACTGCATTGCTGCTTCTCCCAATTTGTCTTTTTTTTTTTTTAAAGACAGGGTTTCATCATGTTGGTCAGGCTGGTCTTCAACTCCCAACCTCAGGTGATCCACCCTCCTTTGCCTCCAAAGTGCTTGGATTACAGGCGTGAGCCACCACATCCGGCCAATCTCTTTGTCTTTATAAGTTTGTACCTTTTATTATTTCTTGCCTGTTATTTTAGTATTGTTTCAAGAGGGAACAGAGAGCTGGGCGTGGTGGCTCATGCATGTGATCCCAGCACTTTGGGAGGCTGAGGTGGGTGGATCATTGGAGGTCAGGAGTTCGAGACAGCCTGGCCAACATGCTGACATCCTTCCTCTACTAAAAATACAAAAATTACCTGGGCGTGGTGGTGTGTACCTGTAGTTCCCAGCTACTCAGGAAGCTGAGGCAGGAGAATTGCTTGAACTTGGGAGGTGGAGGTTGCAGTGAGTCGAGATCACACCACTGGACTCCAGCCTAGGGAACAGAGTGAGACTCTGTCTCAGAATAAATAAACAAAAAATAAAAATAAAAATAAAAATAAAAATTCTTGAGTAAAAATCTTTACCTATCTGCAGTTTAGTAAGAAGTCGTTTTTTGTTGTTTTGTTTTGTTTATCCTGGTATTGTTTTGCTATTTTTTGTTTGTTTTAAACCTAAATAATGGTATTGCTGGAGAGAAGCAGAAGGCTGTTTCTCAGAGCACACTGAGAAACAGTAATATAGTTAAGTTCTCAGGCTCTGGTGTCAGACTGTACTGAGTTTGAACCCGTTTCTGCCATTTACTGTTTGTGTGACCATGGCAACAATGTAAGTCCAGGTCTTCTGAGAGATAGATGCCAAGATGGAATTATCCATGCAAAGACTGTATCAGGGGAAATGTCTGTGTGAGAGGAAATGCCAAGGGAACCAGTGCAAGACCGACCCCAAGAGAAAGAGAGGGGTGGATGCCACTGCTATGTTTGGCAAGGTCTTCAGGGGTACTTGAACTAAAGTCAACCATCAGGGAAGTCCTGGCTCCCCAGGAAAGGCTTGCTCCAAACTATTCCTGCCACACTTAGTCACTGGATGGGAGCAGTCTGTGGGAAGTGTGGTCCTGGAACACACACAGCGAAGGATTTCAGAGCCTAGAAGCTGTGACCCTTGCTTATTTATGTCCTTATTTCAAGGACACAGTGGATTTGTGAGCTTTTGTGGTCATTCGGACCCAACCTCCATCCCTGTAGTTGGGAGACGGGCGAGGCACACCCTCATATCCAGTATATCAAGTTACCTTAGCTCTCGCTGTAAAACAGGGATAATGATAGACGACCTCATACGGCTACTGCGAGGGGAAGAATATGCAATGGAAGTGCCCAAGGTAGAGAGGATCCTTCTTTCTCCTCTTGCTGTCCTTCTCTTTTTCACTTTTTCTCAGGGGCGGCTATTTTAGGTTCAACACTGATACACCAGAAAATCTTCCTCCAAATTACTAAAACAAATCTGTCTTTTAAAAAGTGTTATTGGGCCGGGCGCGGTGGCTCAAGCCTGTAATCCCAGCACTTTGGGAGGCCGAGGCGGGTGGATCACGAGGTCAAGAGATCGAGACCATCCTGGTCAACACGGTGAAACCCCGTCTCTACTAAAACTACAAAAAATTAGCTGGGCATGGTGGTTTGTGCCTGTAATCCCAGCTACTCAGGAGGCTGAGGCAGGAGAATTGCCTGAACCCAGGAGGTGGAGGTTGCGGTGAGCCGAGATCGCGCCATTGCACTCCAGCCTGGGTAACAAGAGCGAAACTCCGTCTCAAAAAAAAATAAAAAAATAAAGTGTTATTGCAAATGTGTTACATGGACCAGCACCATTAGCATCCCTGGGAACTCGACAGGAGGCACATTTCAGGCTCCCCTCCCAGACCTGCTGAATCAGAGTCTCTGGGAGTAGAGGCCAGGAATTTGGTTTCTGTTTGTTTTTTCAGACAGAGTTTTGCTCTTGTTGCCCAGGCTGGAGTGCAGTGGCATGATCTCAGCTCACTGCAACCGCCGCCTCTTGGGTTCAAGTGATTCTCCTGCCTCAGCCTCCCAAGTAGCTTGGACTACAGGCATGTGCCACCACACCCAGCTAATTTTTATATTTTTAGTAGAGATGGGGTTTCACTATGTTGGCCAGGCTGGTCTCGAACTCCTGGCCTCCGGTGACCCACCCGCCTTGGCCTCCCAAAGTGCTGGGATGACAGGCATGAGGAATTTGTTTTTTTGTGTGCAGGGTGACCCTCGTGCACTCTAAGGTTTGAGAAGCTCTGCTCCGAACACAAATCATTCTCATTTCTTCTAGGGAGGAAAAAGGAAGAAAACAGATAAAATCCCTTCAAAAACAGCTAATTAATGTCAAAAAAGAATGGCAATTTGAAGTACAGGTAAGAATTACCTGCGTAACACCAAAAGTGACTGAGCTAACATAGCTATTAAATATATGGACGCTATCTTTCTCAAGCAGAGAAGAGTTACGTGTAAAAGATCATTGTTTCTTCTGGCGTTCCTTTACTGTTGAAAATATAGCCAGGCACAGTGGCTCACACCTGTAGTCCCAGCACTGTAGGAGGCCGAGGTGGGTGGATCACCTGAGGTCAGGAGTTTGAGACCAGCCTTGCCAACATGGTGAAACTCCATCTCTACGAAAAATATAAAAATTAGCCGTGTGTGGTCGTGCGTGCCTGTAATCCCCGCTGCCTGGGAGGCTGAGGCAGGAGAATCGCTTGAACCCTGGGAGGTTGCAGTGAGCTGAGATACTGCCATTGCCCTCTAGCCTGGGTGACAGAGTGAGATTCTGTCTCAAAAAAAGGAAAACAAAAAATAAAATATAAAGAGAGCAACCAGAGAGCCGGCCTGGGTTGTACAGGTATGTCTCAAGTACAGAGCCCTGTGAGACCCCCACCCCTGAGGCTCTTAGTTCTCATCCTCATATCCTACCCCACATACACCACCCACTCCTCCCCCACAGGGGACCTAGTCTCAGGCAGCCTCTTGTATTCTTAAATCCCAGGCGCAAAATTATATTCCTAGAGAAGACATTAAGCACATTATAAACCTTCTTATACGTGGCAGTTAGGCTTCATCATGGTATTTGTATTCTATTTCTTGGACAAAGTGGATTTGTGAGCTTTTGTGGTCACTAGGACCCAACCTCATATCTAGATTACTTTTACAAGAAAATACATCCCAAGTTTCAAGGAATTGACTTGCAAAACAAGTTGGGGCTACAATCTAAGCAGTTAGAAACAAGCTGTATTAGGATAACTGACAGCTTTTCTTATGAGCAGTCTAGAAAGTTACAGAGGATGGCCGGGCACAGTGGCTCACGTCTGTAATCCCAGCACTTTGGGAGACTGAGGCAGGCAGATCACCTGAGGTCAGGAGTTCCAGACCAGCCTGGCCAACATGGTGAAACTCCGTCTCTACTAAAAACAAAACAAAACAAAACAGAAAAATTAGCCAAGCGTGGTGGCACATGCTTATAATCCCAGCTACTCAGGAGGCTGAGGCAAGGGAATCGCTTGAACCCAGGAGGCGGAGGTTGCAGTGAGCTGAGATCACACCACTGCACTCCAGCCTGGGCAATTCAGCAAGACTCCATCTCAAGAAAAAAGGAGGGGGGGAGAAATGGGTAAGACAGGGGAGAAGGGAAGTGCGTATAGAAAGAATGGAAGGAAAACAGTGAGCCAAAAGCAGATGTCTCTTAAAATTCATTTAATCAACATTTATTGAGCCTATAAATTGTGCCAGGCACTGGGCAAGATTTTACAGATGACAAAATAGGCTTAGTGAGGTTAAGTAATTTGCCTGCAATCCTGCAACTTGTAAGAGAATACAAAATACTAAGACATGCTATCAAAGGGCTTACAGCATATTCTGTGCCAGAAATACTCAATCTCTTTGGGATGATTCTGATCTAGCGGGAGCAACTCTCATACAATCAGAATGATTCTGTAGAGTTACACCAAGAAGTTAGTAGACAAAATAACTTGAAGAATTCCATTCTGATTCATCTTAGGGACCTAATGATTCTTTTTTTCTTTTTTTTTTTGAGACAGGGTCTCACTATATTGCCCAGCCTAAAGTGCAATGGCGTGAGCATGTCTCACTGCAGCCTCAACCTCTGGGGCTCAAGGGATTCTACCACTTCAATCTCCCTAGTAGCTGGGATTACAGGTGCATGCCACCAGGCCTAGAGAGTTTTTAAATTTTTTTGCAAGGACAGGTTTCGCCATGTTGCCCAGGCCGGTCTTGAACTTCTGGGTTCAAGTGATCCTTCTGCCTGGATTTCACAAAGTTTTGGGATTATAGGTGTGAGCCGCCCCACTGGGCTGGGACCTAATGACACTTTAAGTCAAGCTTACCCAACCTGCAACCCACAGGCCGCATGTGGCCCAGGATGGCTTTGATTGGGGCCCAACACAAATTCATAAACTTTGTTAAAACATTAGGAGAGATTGTGTGTGTGTGATTTTTTTTTTTTTTTTTAGCTTATCAGCTATTGTTGGTGTATTTTATGTGTGGCCCAATGCAATTCTTCTTCTTCCAGTGTGGACAACCCTGCCTGTGTCTGCTTTCCTTAATAGAGGATTTTTCCAATTACCGCTTTGTTTTTCCTTCCAGGAGTTACGTAGAATTAATTCCCTAGCTACTTGGGAGGCTGAAGACAGGAGATTGCTTGAGTTTAGGAGTTCAAGATTACAGTGAGCTGCGATGGTGACACTGTACTACAGTCTGGGGGACAGAATAAGACCCCATCTCAAGAAAAGAAAAATGAGGCTGGGTGCAGCATTGGCTCCTGCCTGTAATACTGGCACTTTGGGAGGCTGAGATGGGAGGATCATTTGAGCCCAGGGTTTTGAGGCCAGCCTGGGCAACATAGTGAAACTGTTTCTACAATGATGATAATGATAACAATAATCATAAGCCTCTGTGGGCTGCGGCAGGAGGATTTCTTGAGCCTGAGAGGTCAAAGTTGCAGTGAGCCATGATCATGCTACTGTACTTCAGCCTGAGTGACAGAACAAGACCCTGTCTCCAAAAAAAACAAAAAAGCTGGGTGCAGTGGCTAATGTCTGTAATCTCAGCACTTCAGGAGGCCAAGGCGGGAGGATCCCTTGAAGCCAAGAGTTTGAGACCAGCCTGGGCAACACAGAGAGACCCCCATCTCTAAAAATGTTAAAAAGTTAGCCGGGCATGATGGCATACATCTGTAGTACTAGCTACTTGGGAGGATCAGGTGAGCCCAGAAATTGAAGGTTAGTGAGCTGTGATCAAGCCACTGGACTCCAGTCTGGGTGACAGAGGGAGATCCTGTCCCTAAAAAAAAATTTTTTTTAATAAAAAAGAAGTAATTCTACCCAACTTACACGGTAAGATGAAAGGAGGTTGGAGGCCAGGCGCGGTGGCTCACGCCTATAATCCCAGCACGTAGGGAGGCCGAGGCAGGTGGATCACCTGAGGTCGGGAGCTTAAGACCAGCCTGACCAACATGGAGAAACCCCATCTCTACTAAAAATACAAAATTAGCCAGGCATGGTGGCACATGCCTATAATCCCAGCTACTCAGGAAGCTGAGGCAGGAGAATCGCTTGAAGCCGGGAGGCGGAGGTTGTGGTGAGCTGAGATTGCGGCACTGCACTCCAGCCTGGGCAACAAAAGCACAAAGAAAAAGGAAAAAAAGAAAAGAAAAGGCATTTGGTATTTAAAGGAGGGCGAGTCTCTGATTGAAGCCATGCACTTTTGTTGCTGGTTGTGTGTCTGCTTGTTACGCTGTCAGGTAACTGACCACCTCTGTGGAGTTACTCTTTGTTTCTTCTCAAACAGTTCTTTCAAACAAACGTTACCTCCCTGACTAAAACCTTTCCAAGGGTTCCCATGACAGTCGGAATGAAACCCGAATCTCTCAGTCGGGCCTCCGAGGTCCTACGTGGTGCCCTTACCTACCTCCAACCCCCTTGTCCTCCCTTCGGTCCTCACTAGGCTAGAGCCTCCAGAGCCTTCTTTCCGTCCCTGGAATGTATCCAGGTCTTGACTGCTTCAGGATTTGGGGATACATGTTTTCTTAACAATTCCCTTGGCCGGGCGCGGTGGCTCAAGCCTGTAATCCCAGCACTTTGGGAGGCCGAGGCGGGTGGATCACGAGGTCAAGACATCGAGACCATCCTGGTCAACATGGTGAAACCCCGTCTCTACTAAAAATACAAAAAATTAGCTGGGCATGGTGGTGCGTGCCTGTAATCCCAGCTACTCAGGAGGCTGAGGCAGGAGAATTGCCTGAACCCAGGAGGCGGAGGTTGCGGTGAGCCGAGATTGCGCCACTGCACTCCAGCCTGGGTAACAAGAGCGAAACTCCGTCTCAAAAAAAAAAAAAAAAAAAATTCCCTTAACCCTATTTTTCTTTCTTCTCTTTTTTCTTTCCCCTCCCTCCCTCCCTTCCTTCTCTGTCCTCTCTCTCTTTCTTGAGACAGAATTTCGCTCTTGTTGCCCAGGCTGGAGTGCAGTGGCGCGATCTCTGCTCACTGCAACCTCCGTCTCCTGGGTTCATGTAATTCTCCTGCCTCAGTCTCCCACACACCACCCCCCCCAGCTAATGTTTGTATTTTTGGTAGAGATGGGGTTTCACCATGTTGACCAGGATGGTCTCGATCTCTTGACCTCGTGATCCACCCGCCTCGGCCTCCCAAAGTGCTGGGATTACAGGTGTGAGCCACCGCGCCCGGCCATTTTGCACAATTTTAAACGTTCACACATATTTGTTTGTTTCTTTTTAGCCATCTCTCTTCTATGAGATCATAGCTCTACAGGAGCAGGGATGTGTCTGTTTAGACCTCCGTTGTTTTCTTAGCACCTAGCTCGATGCCGGGTGCTGAATAAATACTTTTCTTAATGAATATTGAGTCCTCACAATTGCCAAGCACTTGGTGACCCGCAAAAAGAGTTTTCACACGTATTCTGAATGAAACGTAATAATCACTCTCTGAGATATTTCAGGCAGGGTAGATTTTTTTGTTTGTTTTATAGAAGGTAAAAAAGTTGGAGACTTTGGCTTGGCCAAGTTCACATAGCTGGAGGCTTGGGTGGGAAGTCAGCTCTTTGGATCATTTTGACCAGTGATCTTTCTCCCACAGTAAGAAATCTGTGTGGGGAATACGGAGTACACCAGTAATGGCCTGGGAACTGATCTCACAGCCCTGATTCTTAGAACTGCTGTGTTCTCTCTCATCTATACTCTTCATGATTGTTGGCTAAAATTCCCATTGTGCGAAAAATAGTTCCAGTTCCTTGTTGATTTCTATGTACAAAGAGGAACCTGAAGCTGCTGACCGAACCGAATGGAGGTAGAATGTATTTTCAGTTTAGAAACCTGGTCTTTCCACTACAGAGTCAGAATGAATATATTGCTAACCTCAAGGACCAACTGCAAGAGATGAAAGCAAAAACCAATTTGGAGAATCGCTACATGAAAATCAATACTGAGCTGCAGATTGCCCAGACCCAGAAAAAGTGTAACAGAACAGAGGAACTCTTGCTGGAAGAGATCGAGGTAATCCCTGGGACATTAGGAAAGAACCCGGAGATGGCATTTGAGCTCTCACTGCTGATACTGTCTCAGCTAACGAAGGAGGGAGAGGAAGATTTCCCTCCATCTCTCCAACAGCCCCTGCACTTGAGGTTGAAAATAAAAGCCTGAATGAGGATATGCATATTCCATTTCCAATTACTCTGAAAATTGGCTGTACTTTCTCCCCTTATCAAACCACTCACCATTTCTCTAATTATAGGGAGAGAGCAAAACAAGATACTTAGTTATGGCAGGATTTTGCTGCTGTTTATTTCATCTAACTAGTACCTTTCACTCTCAACATCAAAGAGCTGAAGTTCATTCAAACCTAAATTTACAGAGATGAGAAGTCACAGTGAAAAACATCAAAATATCAGGAGGAAGAAATGGTAGATCTTGAGGGGAAAGCTAAATGACCACACACACGCATGCATGCACACACACACGCGCACACACACATGCACGCAAAGCCAGACACTAGTCCCAGCTAACTGGAGGTGAGGCAGTGAGACAGGAGGATCCTTGAACCCAGGATTTTGAAGTCAGCCTGGGCAACACAGGAAGACTCCTT